GTTTGACTGTTCGACAGAAAAAAGAAAACCCTAATCCCAATTTCCATTCGACCATCCACCACAAATCTTCAATCTTGTGCGATATTTCTTACTTCTTATGGCTTCTTCTTTTGATAAAACCAGTGATTCCAAAAAATCAAACAAAGATGAAGATGAAATTGAAAATGAGGGCAAAAAAAAATGCCGAGGCCTATTTCAAAGACAAAGAAAAAGAGGGCACGCGAGCAAATTGAGACCAAAAAGAAATCATGGGTGTGGAAGCATTTTGAGGTGGTGAAGAAGCCACTGATGAGTAGAAACGAGGAGCGGATAATGGTCCAAGTTGGATTAACCAACCGAGCTCAATGCAGGTATTGTGAGTCTGACTTGGCTTGTAATTCAACGAGAAATGGGACTAGTATATTTCAGAAGCATTTAGAACTGCATTGTGATGGTTATCCAGGTAGTGTAAGAAATATTGGTTCTGGTCAAAAAAAATTTCAAGAAATGTAGAGGGTAATGAACCGATTGTCACACACTGGACTCAAGAAAATTGCACTAAGGAAGTTGTTGAAATGATAATTATAGATGAATTGTTATTTAGTGCTATTGAAAAATCGGGGTTTAAAAGATTTTGTTTAGTTGTTGTGCCAAAATGGAAGATTACTTGTAGAAAAATGGTTGCGGAACATTTTCTGATCATGTACATTACCAAAAGAGAGTGTTTGAAGATGACCTTAGGGATCATTGTGATAGTTTGACCACTGATACATGGACCTCGATTCAAAATTTAAATTACATGGTAATTACAACACATTTCATTGATAATAATTGGCATATGCACAAGAGGATGCTGAACTTTTGTGTGATTCCTAATCATCAAGGAATTACTATAGTGAAGATTTTAGAAAAATGTTTGCAGGATTGGTCTATCAAGAAAATCTTAACAATTTTTGTTGATAATGCATCTGCAAAAAAAGTGGCAATAGATTACAACAGAAGGAAACTAGGAAATGGTGAAATACAAATGATTCTAAGGGGAAAGTTTCTTCATAGAGATGCTTAGTTTATGTTGTCAATCTTATTGTCAAATCTGGACTTAAATGCATGGATAAGTCAAATGCTTCTATTAGAAATGCAGTAAAATATGTTAGGAGCTCACCTGCAAGGTTGGAAACCTTTAAAGAATGTGTAAGAAAAGAAAAACTTCACAGTAGAAATGTGTGTGTTTTGGATGTGACAACTAGGTGGAATCCACCTTTATTATGCTTGAAACTGCTGTTGAACTTAGACAAGAATTTGATAGATTGGCTGAAGAAAAGGACACTAAGTATAAAAGTTATTTTGATGAGGATGAAGAGGAAAATGAGGAAGAAGGAGAAGATGTTCTAGGGGTTGAGTTTGGGAATGAACCTGATGAACCTATTGGAGGCAAGGGGCTGAAATTATTAGAAGGAAGAAAGATAAAGGATGGAGAGGGAAGAAAGTGGGGTCTCCAACTGATGATGATTGGGAAAAAGTTGTCCATTTGTCAAGTTTTTGAGAGTGTTTTTTTATGTCATTTTGAATGTTAGTGTTTCAAGTAAACCTACTGCTCACAAAGCATTCCATGATATTGTTTCCATTAAATATGAGATTGAAGATATTTTTTATGCACCAATCACAAACCACAACACAGATTATGAGAAAATATTGTTCAACATGTTAGTCCAAATGAGGAGCAAGTACAACAAGTACTTTGATTCACTAGATGATGTAAATCAACTCCTGGTTGTTGCTTTGGTGTTAGACCCTAGGTTCAAGCTAAGGTATTTCACTATGGTTCTTGAGATGATGCTGAATTATGATGCCTTTATTGTAAAAGTAAAGACAGAAAGGTTGAAAGAGTTGATTGTTACTCTCACTAACTTGTATGCTTCAATGAATGGTGTTCAAAATTCTAGCACAAAAAAGGCAGATGGTGTTGAAACTGGGACTAGGAGTGGAAGCAAGTACTATTACTCATTGTAACTTTTACATTTCTGTTTTTATTTCACGGTTAATTAGTTCCTTCATCTTGTTTCTGGTTTCATTTACTTTTATTGTTTATTTGTTTTATATTGTAGTTATTCTTCAAAGAAGTTGACCGGGAAGAAAGCAAAAATGATGGAAGATTGGAAAAAAGACCTTGAAGATGTTGATGTTGTTGTAGTTGCTCATGAGGTAGACAGATATCTACTTGATCCCATTGAAAAGCCAGTCCAGGAGTTGATTTTGATATTTTCTCATGGTTGAGGCTAATGGGAGTTAAGTATCCTAATTTTCAATTACTTGCTAAAAATTGTACTAGCCATTCGAGTTAGTACTATTGCTTCTGAGTCAAGTTTTAGCACTGGGAAAAGAATTATTGAATCTCATACGAGTTCATTAACTCCTAGATCAGTGGAAGCACTGATTTGTCTTAAAAGTTGGCTTAAGTCTGATACAATCACAACCCTTGCATATATTCCTACCCCAGATAAAATTGAATGGATTGAAAAAAACTGAACAATGTGAGTTATACTTATTACTTATATTTCACATGTATGATTTGTGCAATCATTTGATTAGTATCATTTATTTTTCTTTTTTCTTTCTGTTTTTGACAGAATTGGACCAAGAGGAGAGATAGAGAGCATAGAGAGAAGTTGGAGAAACAAAATGAAATTGAGTTGATTGAAAAGAAAAATAAAGTTGCAAAAGGCTCCAAAGGCTCTGATGCAAGAACTTCCAAAAAGAAATTTTGAATTGTAGTATGCCATTTAATTTTTGAGTTTTGAATGTCAACTTTGAGCTTTGGTTTGAAAGTATGAAGTTTGAATATTGAACTATCAACTATGTATTATGTAACTGATATTTTTTGAGTTTTGTTGTGGCCTGTGCTGCGGGCATTGTGGCTGTGTGGTGTGGATTGTGATTGTGGATTGTTGAATTTGGCTTTATAATTCAGTTTGTATGTTAGGTTTGATGGTGGTATTGTGGCTCATGAATCGTGATTATAATTTGTACTGAAGCTTGGATTGTGGACTTTGGCTTGTAAGTTCTAAGTTGAATCATGATGATAAATTGATAATTGTAAGTTTGTAACTTGTAAGTTGATTACAAAGACCGGTTCCTATAGGAACCGGTTAATATCAATTTTTTTGTTGCATTCGGTTAACTAAAGAACTGGAGGAACCTAACCGAAATTGGTCAGTTCGGTTCCACTTTGGTTCTTGATAAAAATTACACAGTAACCAAACCGAAAATTTAGATATGTATTAGGTGTCGGTTCTTCCAAATTTGGATGATAACCGGACCGATCCCACCCTTAGATTTTATATCTACCAATCACTACCACTACTGAATATAGAGAAAATATTAAGCCTATATGGATATTCAAATTTTAGAAGACTTCAAATGGAGAAGAAAACTAAAGCAAAATGCAAAACACAAATTCAACATCCACAATGATAGCCTTACCAATACACAAAAAGAAGTTCCTGAAGGACAAAATAAAGTAATAATATATTTCCACCACAACCGCATTTTTCCCCCCTTTTTCACTTCCCAAACCTGTAGTGCCCAATTTATCTGTCCTTAATCCTTGAAGTATTCAAGAACCACAGCAGGCTGACCTCTGGGCAGGTTGGCTACCTCCAGCACCACCTTCAGGCTGATTAATTCTGATCGTTGTTGGCTGTAGAAGGCATACAAAAAAAGTTCAACAACATGGATCCTAAACTATCATGTTAAGAAAAACAACCGAATTAAGTGCAATTTACTTCTGCTCTGGTGTCAACTTCTGAAAGCCTTTGCTTTATATCCCTAGCTATTGAAAAGAAAACTTCTTCCACATTAAGATTCGTCTTAGCACTCTGCGGCACACAAAGTTATTAGAAATGCACATAAATTGATTGTCCTCACTAAAGAAGTTAAATAGTACTCACAGTTTCAAAGAATTTAATTCCATACTCATCTGCAAGTGCTTGACCCTTGGAAGTAGGCACGGCCTACACAGTATGAAAAGCAGATAAAATAACACAAGATATTCAACAAGTAATGGAAATTAGAAAACCAACAAGTTGAACAGCAGAACTTTTGCAGCAACTGCCTTGATGTCAACTTTTTGCAAAGGGAAATTTGGTGTTTCGAGATTAACCTACTCAACGTAGAATAAAAAAAGTTTTCTAATTGGAATGTAAAACCAACAAGTTGCACAGCAGAACTTCGCAGCAACTGCCTTGATACCAACTTTTTGCAAAGTAACATGTGGTGTTTTGATATTTACCTACTCAAGTTCGAATAAAACATCTTTCTAATTTGAATGTACGGAGGTACATATCAAACCCACTGCTCGATAGACTACTAAAGTTTCCTGATAGATTGACATGACGTGAACGAGATTGCAAAATCCAATATCAAACACCAATTATTCTTAGCATATTGATTTACATGATACCTTTAGAATCAATGTGTCCAAAAAACTTGGTTTCGGACACAACACCAACACTTATGCATTTTCATCGCAAGAATCAAGTTTCCAAACAAATGTTTAAGCAATTAAAAAAAAAGCACAAAAAATAGTAAATATATACCACACCTTCGGTAAAAGGTTTCATATATTGAACATTAGATAAAATTCGGTGACTGATGTCCAAAAACAATATCCCTGAATTTCTTCCCATTCTATTTTCTTATAAATATTGGAAAAAGGGCCAGATTACAGCTCTTTGTCTTCACATGCAAAATTTGACTACAGAATACCAAGTATTTCACAACACTAGGGCAGCCACTTATGAAAACAGTAACAGAAAGATCCAAATTATTCCCTCATGCCCATTCAGAGACAAATGAAAGTCACTCATAAGTCGACTTGTGTGTTTAAACAAGAGCTAAATCATATCATATATTAACAACTAATAAAGAATATCGACAGAAATCGAGAAAATATATGTACCCTTTTGCTTTCGTCCATGTCAGCTTTGTTCCCTACCAATATCTTGTTGACATTGTCAGAAGCATGTTGTTCAATGTTTCTAATCCAATTCCTAATGTCTGAACAGAGAAATGCATCAACAAGCAATAAATATAAACATAAAGAACAACAGTAGAGAATATTGAACCATTGTCATACAGTTTTATTTCTTAACCTCCTTTTCTTTCACATTGATTTCCTTTCCTTTTTCTTTTTGTTTTCTGTTATTTTTTCTACTTCAATCCTTTACCGTTCGAAAGGAAGTTAGATCATTCTAGGCATTTACAAAATATAAAGGGAAAAACCTGCATTCTCCACGATCATTGACTTTTCAACATCTCATGAGAGAGACATGTGAAGTTTCACAGCCCAAAACGGAAAATAAACAAAGCAGCAATACATGAAATCAAAGGTGAAGTTCACAATTAACCAGAAAAGGAAACCACTTCGTTGCAATAGTTTGGGGAGGTAGGAGATGCATAACTCTGTCTAAGAAACAGAAAAATAATAAAGTTCAGTTTAGAAATATTTATTTTGCTCTCATTTCCAGTATGCAGGTGGTATACAATAAATATAATCCAGGGAGGGCATGATGATTCACCTAATAAGCTAAAAGCCACAGAAAGGAGCAAAACTAACGTCACACTACCGGATCACCGAGGATATAAGAAACCTTACTGTTAAATGAGGACTCATCTGTGACATCATAGACTAGCAATATACCCATTGCGCCACGATAGTAAGCTGGAGATTAAACGAGGAAACATAATTCAACTTATTTGATTCACTTGTTAAGCATAACTATCAACTATGCAGATATAACACATTATTCAACATTAAAATAATAATTTCAAAAAAATAATAATTTCAACATTAAACCTCTACATATGGTATGTATTATGAGAGACAGTGAAAAATAGAGTAGAACAACAAAGTTGTAACTCTAATCAATCAAACTGCAATTATGTGCATTAGATGCTTCAAACTCAACATTAAGTTCTACCTACAAAAAAATCTATCCTAATAGATATACAAATAAACAAATAGATTTAATATATAGATACACTAAGCATTTTAGAAATACACTGAGAAATTTAGAAGAACAATGCACAAGAGTTCATTTGATAGACAATTGGTGACATTGTTCAAGAAGCTATACATAATAACAAAAATAGAAATTTAACTTCTTCTTTTTTTCATCTAGGAAAAGCACTAAAGTTGAATTAAGGTATCTCCAGAGTATGTGATGTGCAAGAACTGATAAAATCAATGTTGTAGAAAATACATGAATGAAAAGCTAAATCTGGAATAAGTTTCACACAAGAACTAAACAGAAATGAGAAGTCAATGCTTTTACATGAGAAAACACACAAGCGCGAGCACACACACACACACACACACACACACACACATATATATATATATATATATTCAAAATAAAATTAATTCTGCTACAGAAAGGCAAAAGTTACCTGTCGTGATTGTTCGGAAACGTTCTTGACCAGCTGTATCCCAAATTTGGAGCTTGATACGTTTTCCATCAAGCTCAACAGTTCGTATCTTGAAATCAATCCTATGTAGCAAACCCACATCAGTAACCCAATCAAGCAGTTGATAGTTGTTTTTGGCAGTAAGGACTCACCCAATGGTGGTTATGAAACTAGTAGTGAAGGAGCCATCAGAGAATCTCAAAAGAAGGCAACTCTTACCCACACCTGCAGGATAAAAAAGCGAATAATAAAGGAAATATATTCAAGTAATTCATGCTGACAAAATTACCAAGCAAGTAAACGAAAACTGATTGCACAAGGAAAATGGAACTTCAAACTCCAATTCCTGCCAGCGACTCAGAACAATGGTACAGAAGAACAGGTTCGATCACAAATACTTCTTTTTTCTAAAGGAGGAATCATCTTAGAAGTAACACTGAGAACCAAGCACGAGAAGTAACACTGAAAAGCAAGCACGAGAAGTAACACTGAGAAGCAAGCACCAGAACTCAGGGGAGTCCATTAGTAATATTTTCGTTCCTTAACATTATTAGTTGTTCGTAACATAAATGCATAAGCAGAGCAGCCCACATCTAAGTCCTGGATTCATGACTACCAAAAATTCTTTCAAGCTAACTCTACATCAGCACACACGGTTAGAATATGCTAAGCGACAAGAATATTCTTCCATCTAAAACCTCAGGGGATGGCAGCTCAGAGAGGAAAAATTTCCGCCAAACTATGTCCGTACCAAATAATCATTAACATCTCATACATGAAAATCCCCAAATAACAATATAATTCGCAATTATGACACCGTGGAGCCACAGATCAGAACAAAACGGGCCTATTCACAAGAAAACGTTACGATCAATCAATTGAATTATCAATCAGGTAGGAATCCTTAGAAGGGGAAGAAGAAATAGGGAAGTAGATTTCCAACGAAGACTAACCGCTGTCGCCGATGAGGAGAAGCTTGATGAGGTAATCGTAATCCGCTCTTGCCCTAGCCGGTGGTGCAGCCATTGACCCTTGCCGACGGTGCCGTATCTCTTCTCAATACGCTGCCGTTTGAAGTTTTGTTTGTTACTCACAGGTGGGTGTAGGGCGAGGGAGGGAGAGAGAGAGAGAGAGAGAGGCGGGTTGTGGGTGAGGGGAGAGAAGGTCACCGTCCACGCACCATGTTTGGAGTGTGTGCTTTTTGGAGAATTTATTGTAGAGCGTGTGAGCCGTGTGGTATGTCTCCTGCGCATGCTACCAATGCGGTATCAAGAAAAAGGGATTTTATCATTTTATGTTATCTTTTTCTTTTATGTTCTTTTTCTTCCGTCAATTTTAGGGGTTACCATTCGATCTCTAACTGAGCGAACTCTCGGATTAAATGCTCTTAGTTGCATCAACACGCAACTCAACCTTTGCTTGGAGACATTTCTATAATAGCGAAACCATAGCAGGATCGGTGTAGTCAACGTAGATGCAGTTATCAGTCTTGCCTTCAACTCCTGGAAGCTTTCCTCGCACTGGGAACTCCACTCACTTCAATTGAACCTTCTGCCAACTGCTCCTAACAGTGTTCACCAATAATCCTTGACAATTTCTCTTTCTTAAGTTCTTCTCTTTCGTCGAGATAACTCGCGATCCTTGCTATCATCTCTTACGACCTTATCTTCTTAAATTTTCTTCATCTCACTAGTAAAAGTCGCCTCAAATTTGTCACGGCCCAACTTCAAGCCTCCAGGGTCTACTCGGACTTGTGGCTCTTACTTCAAGCCTCCATAGTTTACTCAGACTTGTGACTTTTATACACATGAAAATCGTTATTACACATACTTACTTGAAGGCACCTTGCCGAACTAAACTGAGGTAACCTCTAGAGTCAAAGCTTAACTCAAACTTCAACTAGAGTTCAACTCTCAACTTATCTAGAGTTCAAAGTTCTTTAATCAGAGGGTAAATCCTAGACCCATTCTCAAGTCAAACATGAAATCTCAATCATGCTGAAACTGAAACATCTCAAGATACATACCTTGAAGCTGGTGGGGCACGAAGGAGGTGAGTGGTCATACTTTAGAACTTTTCGATAATTTTTTTTTCAAAGTTTTCTAACTTTTGAAATTTTGCAAGTCTACAGAATCATATATTTGCTCTGATACTACGCTGTAGCACCCATTTACTTTACTTTAGAAAACATTAAATTTTTAGAAATAAATTAAACCTTTTCAAAAACTTTGAACTTTAAAACTCTTCTCAGGCACTAACTGAAATCTTTTTCTTTTCTCCATGGCTCGTCTGGTCTATGGATGGCTCGTCTGGGTCCGCTGGTGGTTGAGGGTTGCACGGACTGGTGCGCTGGTGGCTGAGTTGGCACGGTCTGGTGGCCTGGCTGAGCTGTTAGGATGCGCTGTGGCCGAGACTGCTCGGATCGCGCGACGCGCACGGGCGTTAGGGCGTGGAGACCTCATGCAGAACGTTTCTGGAACACACAGATCAATGAAGAAGCCGAGACGAGTAGCGTGGGGCTCGCAGTTCGCGTTGGGAACACGCGGGTCGCTTTGGGGAGCTGGGGAGACACGGGTCACGTTGTCGTCGTGCGTGGGCTGTCTGCGGGTGTGGGCGATCTGCTTGCGGGCGTGCGCGTTCTGCCTGCGGGTGCACGGGCGGTGCTCGGGCGGCACGTGGGGCTCTAGCACCGGTGCGTACGGCTGCGGCTGGTGGTCCTGACAACACCGATGAATGCGCCTTTATTTGGTGGTCGTGCTCTCCAACTTTCGTGGCCATCCGAGGTGCTGCAGGGCTATATATAGATGCATATATATAATCGCCGGGATGTGAAAACAAAACCTTGGAATCTTTTGTTGTATGACCTTTACATCTATAAAATTAACTTTTTTTAATAAAATTCGTCGGGATGCAAAAACAAAACCTTGGAATCTTCTGCTGTATGACCTTTACATCTAATAAATTAATTTTTTCAATAAAATTTCACGTGATATAAATTGGCATACCAAATTTTTCGATATTTTGGTTAAATAATTTCAGATTGAATTGTGGATACTTTTTCCTTCACAAAATTTACCAAGATTTGGTGAGTTCATACAAAATCAGTTGTTATGGAATAAAAATTGGTGCATTTACGTGATATATTTTAAAAAGCACGTGAGATATTATTTTTTAAAACTGTGAGATTTTGATAGCCATATTCAATGCAATTTTCTTGGTATATATTAATCTGTTGCACAATTAGGAAAAACCGTTTATTCTTTTTTCATTTCTTGTTTTTTTGGTATTTTAATTAAATAAGTTCAAATCGAACATTTTGGTATCAAGTCAATATATAAATCATCTATATCCCATAAACATTCTTGATTGTAAATTAATTATTTTTATCTCTTTAAAATATGTTTATCTCTTCAAACAAACTTTATCAAACCAAGAATATTGTGCATAAGGAAAGGTTCAATAATATATAAATTTATTTATCATGATATTTTTAATTGTAAGAAATTTTAATGGGTATATTCAAAACTATTAAGCAGAATTGAATAAACCCCAATCATGTAATTCTATCAATTCATAGAATATGGATCTTTGCATAAATTAAATTGCAGATAGAACTTACAAGAATCCAGCTTATAGTCCTTTCTTGTTTTCTTGATCTATGATGTTGATGTAGGGAAGCGTACGAATGGGAAGGATAAATGAGATACTCTCTCGATAAAACTCACAATCAATTCATATTCGTATTCAATAATCAACTACTAAAATAAACTAGAGGGGGTCCTTTATATAAGGCCCCTAATCTTAAAACCTAACTTCATCACCAAGAAAGCTACTAAATATTTAAATACTAAAATAATAATAATAGTAATAATAATAACTATCCTGCATCATTCACCTCCGGTTCGAAAGGTTTCGGCCTCGAAGCCGCACCAAACGTGCTAACACCGGAGTCGTACCCATGGCAATCATTGTCCGACGTTTCCCCCTATCAAACATGAAAGTTGAAGGTCGCCCAACAACCCTGAAAGTAAACATAATCTCGGGCAAGGATTGAACTGCTGCAAAGGCACATATACACGCCTTCATACGCATAACCCACAAAGCTGAATTAACACAAAACATACCACATCGTTCGCCGTGCTCAAATCCATAACTACGGCCAAGCATCCCGTTGTTGGGAGACTTCGAGATAGACAATCGGAAAATGGCCCACCAGTTATTGAGCCTCAGCTTCGGCTCCAAAAACCATCGTTGGCCAAGATACTCCAAACATCGGGTTTCAAAAACGGCATCCCCGTCAAAGGCTCAACTTCTGCGACGTCCCACGCGGGACCCATATTGCCATAAAAATATGTCTCCGTCACCAGAGGCTCCTCATCGAAAATAGACAGACTGTCATACAATAGCTCGTCATCTTCCTCAAATATCGCACTCTGTTGCCGCACATCTTGGTCGTCGTGCGCAACAACGAGCTTAGTCTCGATGGGTGGAAGCGGCCACTCTCCGAAGGGATCCACCTCCGAGATGGTCTCCTCGCCGTCTACATCGCCGGGCGGCGGTTGTGGAGAACGCCGACGAGGCGCCCCGCTTGGAACACGACCTCCACTTCCTCCGTGAACTCCCCCGCGCACACCCCGGCCGCCGGCAGCACGGTTCATCTGCATATCCTAGACCACGTTGCTAAGCGTCAAACCGCAAATCCTTGATCCCCGTCAAAAGATCTGCAAACTAATCTGTGAAACGCACGTCCAACTATTCAAATCGGTAGTCCATCTGTTGAAACCGATCGTTGAAGGTTGCATCACGTTGTTTGTTTGTTGCATCTTGTCGTCCCGGCAACATCGCGAATCGTACTGACTGCTGAGATGAGACCACGCTAGCGTTTTTGAATAAATTTGATCGCCTACGTATCTAGCTTATTTATTTTCCATTATTAGTAGTCTTTCATTTAGATGGTATTATTATAAGTTTGGGGATTTTTAATAATTATTATTAAGTCTTTTATTAGTAGTTAGGGTATGTTGGACTCTTGGTTTTATGTAGTCTCTTCCTGCGCAGAAGAGAGCGGTTTTTCATCGATCAAAAATAAGAAATCTGGTCTAGCCTTTGTGCGTGTTCTTTCCCATTCATACATACGCTCTACATCAGTTCGTATCACAATCAGGTATCGATTACCTATTCCTAGGCTCGATGATTTGTTGGATCAATTGCATGGGACCACTTTCTTTACCAAATTGGATCTCTGTAGTGGTTATCACCAAATTCGGATTAGGCCAAGGGACGAGTGGAAAACGGCATTCAAGATCCGGGAGGGTCTTTTCGAATGGTTAGTGATGTCGTTTGGCCTATCGAACGCGCCGAGCACGTTTATGCGCATCATGAATCGACTTTACGGGACCTTATCGGTAAGTGTGTTGTCATTTATTTCGACGATATACTTATATACAGTCGCACAGTTGAGAATCATTTAGAGCATGTACGATCGGTGTTGGTCATCCTGCGGGTCGAGTCCTTTTTTGCTGCGCCCCACAAGTGCTATTTCATGGTGGAGTCGGTTCTTTTCTTGGGGTTTGTGATCTCGGCAGTAGGTATTCGAGTAGACGAGAGCAAGGTGGCGGCAATTCGTGATTGGCCAACACCGACGTCCTTCACTGAGGCACGAAACTTCCATGGTTTGGCTTTAGTTTATCGACGATTCATTTCACACTTTAGTTCGCTCATGGCCCCAATTACATATTGTCTCACTTGGAAGACTTTCAGTTGGACTCCGGCAGCCGCTGATGCTTTTGCTCTCATCAAGAGCAAGTTGACATCGGCCTCGGTGTTCATGCTACCAAATTTTTCACGACCATTTGAGCTGTCATGCGACGCATCTAAAGTGGGGATTGGCGTTGTACTTGCTCAGGACGGGCGTCAGGTCTCCTTCTTCAGCGAGAAGTTATCGGGTCCGAGATTATGTTATAGCATATATGACGTTGAGTTCTACGCAGTGGTTCAGGCAGTCCGACATTGGCGCCATTATCTCTTTCACATAGAGTTTATTTTGTACACTGACCATGAGGCCTTACGACACCTTGCTTCTCAGGACAATATCTCGGTGAGACATGAATCGTGGACGGCTTTCCTATAGCAGTTCACTTTCGTTTTGCGACACCATTCGGGTGCTTCGAACAAGGTGGCAGTTGCTCTCACTAGGCGGGCGCTCCTATTGTCCGAAATGCGTGTGTTCGTGATCGGCATTGAGGTCCTGCGTGATGTTTATCGGTAGGAACCATTCTTCGGACCGATTTTGCGTCGTTTACGTGATGGTCCTTATGAAGATTACACCTGTCTGATGGTTTCTTGTTTTGCGGAGTTCGTTTGTGTGTGTCGGATTGTAGTTTTTGGCAGAAGCTCATCGGCGACCTTCATGGTACGGGCCACGTGGGACGTGACTGGTGTGTGGATTTGATGAGCCAGTCTTATTTTTGGTCGACCGTGTGCCGTGATGTGGGGCGTTTTGTGGCTCGTTGTCGCATCTGTCAGGTCTCGAAGGGGGTCGCGACTAACGCAGGCTTGTATTGGCCCTTGCCAATCCCGTCCCAATCGTGGCAGACTATTAGCATAGACTTCGTGTTGGGCCTGCCAAGTACTCAGCGGGGCTTTGATTCTATCTTTGTAGTGGTGGATCGTTTTTCGAAGATGGTGCACTTCAATTCCATGCAAGCGCACCACTGATGTTGTTCACGTCTCCCAGTTGTTCTTTAGAGAGGTCTATCGTTTACATGGGTTGCCTTGTGCTATTGTGTCCGATCGTGACACCCGCTTTTTGAGCTATTTTTGGCGGATTTTATGGCGTATGGCTGATACACGTCTCGACTTCAGCAGTGCATACCACCCTCAAATGGACAGTCAGACTGAGTTGGTCATTCGATCGCTTGGGAATCTGCAACGTTTTTTAGTGGTCGATAACATCCAGGGGTGAGACCAGCGTCTAAGCTAAGCCGAGTTCGCCCACAATTCGGCATTGAGTCGGGCCACGGGCTTCTCGCCCTTCCAGGTCATGTACGCCGTGCAGCCGCGGGGCCCGTCAGACTTGGGAGCATTGCCATCTGGAGGGAGTGTCGATCGTCGGGCTTCAGACCTCATTCAAGAGTTGCAGTCCACACATGCCGCGGCCCGAGCTCATTTGGAAGACACGACGGCGTCTTATAAAAGGCAGGCAGATGCTCGTCGCCGGCATGTGGAGTTTGAGGTAGGTGATTTCGTTTGGGCTATTTTGACGAAAGACAGGTTTTCCGCTCATGATTATAATAAACTGTCTGCACGAAAAATTAGCTCGGTTGAGGTGGTGGAGAAGATCAACCCCAACGCTTATCGTCTCCGCCTGTTATCCCATATTCGCACGTCTGACGTCTTTAACGTCAAGCACTTAGTGTCGTTCGTTGGATTCGGACGGAGACGAGACCGGTTTGGATTCGCGGCCCAATCCTTCCCAACTGGGGAGGATGATGGAGACGAGACCGCGATAGCCTTTTTGAATATTTGATCTCCTGCGTATCTAGCTTATTTATTTTCCATTAGTAGTAGTCTTTCATTTAGATGCTATTATTATGAGTTTGGGGATTTTTAATAATTATTATTAAGTCTTTTATTAGTAGTTAGGGTATGTTGGACTCTTGGTTTTATGTAGTCTCTTCCTGCACAGAAGAGAGCGGTTTTTCATCGATCAAAAATAAGAAATCTGTTCTAGCATTTGTGCGTGTTCTTTCCCATTCATACATACGCTCTACATCAGA